AAATGTACTTAATTCTACTGTATATTTCAACAAAATAAACCAGTTATTGATTGTGAGAAATAAAGTTAGCATTGAATCACTATATGATTAATTCAATGTTAAGCCAATATGATGCCTATTGTAGTAAGAAGTAAATCCCCTGGTGAATTAACTTTTATAAATTGAACAAAAAGTAGAAAACTTGATTCTTAACATCAATGATAAGACAAATTCTCTCAAGAGTGCCATAAGGTATTCAATTATATAACGATAAACTTGTACAAATTACTTACCATAATATTTATATTAATATTAAACACTAATTGTTATTGGAATATCCTTTTAGCAAGTTATACTGTACACATGATTGTGAATGACAATTTGTGCATATTTTAGAAACCCTTAAATATTTGTCTGGGTGATAAAATAGTATCTGTAAGGCGTGAAGTGGACTAAAATTGATACAGTATCATAATAAGATAGCATTCAGTTACGTTATAAATAGATTTCCAAATACTGACACTATTCTGGGCGTTATTAATACTTCACAAGTGTTTCCCCATATAATGGCAATAATATTGTCAAAAGTGTGCATGCTAAGTTAAACAAGTTATTCTATACAAACTTGTTTCCAAAAGTTAATCAATTCTTTGTTTATCCATTTATTTTATATTATATAAATTATCACTCAACTTATGGCTGAGTTGTCGTATCTGGAGATCGTTGGCATTATTTGGTTGTCTTTGTTTGTATTGAAACTCTTGTTGAGTGTCTTAAGAGGTTTGTGGACCACTTGTTTGGCTCATAGATTGGGATTTGGGATCAAATGGAAACCCGGAGACCACGTGTGGGCTGTCATTACGGGCGCCACCGATGGTATTGGTCTTCAATACGCCAAACAATTGGCACAAAAAGGATATAATTTAGTCATTATCTCCAGAAGTGAAGACAAACTGATGGCAACACAAAAGAGTCTATTAAACGACTACAAGAACTGCAAACAGGTTTGTCTTCACTATTATCTCACTTAAGACATCACTTCTTACGGTCTTCTTGTGGACAAACTTTAGGTGAAGACAATAGCCGTTGACTTCAACCGTACAGACATTTACGATAAGATCACTCGCGAGCTGAGTGGTGTGGAAGTGGTGGATGTGTTGGTGAACAATGTGGGGACTCTTAGCCGATGCGCGGACTACTTCCTGGACATCGGGTCCCAAATGAACGAAACGTATTTCAAAGTCAATATGTTTTCGTATATAAGACTCATTGAAATAGTTTTGCCAAAAATGGTTCAACAAAATCGCGGTATTGTTATCAACGTCTCGTCGCAGACAGCGTTAGCACCGGTACCTCTCATGACTACTTATGCCGCGAGTAATACACCATTTAATGCCAATCCGTGTCGAAAGTCATACTAAATATGAATGATTTGTTCAAATGATAGCCAAAGCGTTCATTACATTCCTGTCGGAAGGCCTGTCCGTTGAGTACGAGTCCAAAGGCGTGACAATACAGACAGTGATGCCATCGATGACTAAGACGAAGC